AAAAAAAAAAAAAAAAAAAGATATGTAACAATATGTAATAAATAATATATAAGTAAAAAATTTATTTAAGTATAAAATAAATACATGAATATTAAAATCTTTTTATAGTTTTTTAGAAAGCAGGATTTATTGACAGAACAGAAAAGCTCTCACAGAGGGAGGGGACCCGAAGGGGTTGCCCTGAAAATCTTAATGAAGACAAAATTATACGATCATTTCAAAGAATGCAGAAGAAAGATTTCATGAAAAAGATATGTACATTCACGATAAAACTCGGCATCGAGGGGAACTCAGGTACCAGAGCACATGCCACCCTTGGTGGGGAAAGGTGAAACGTACTCTTTTTGGAATAAGAGGAGTGATCAATTTTCTCCCTGAGACAGGATGAGGCGCAGTGTCACACTACTTCTGCTCCAAGACTCACTGCTGTTCCCTGTTGTACACAGTAAGAGAAGGAAGGGAAACTTGAGGCATAACCATTGCACAGGAGGGAATAACCTTTTTTGCTGGTGACTTGATTAGGTAAATGAAAAAACTAAAAGAATCTACACGCTATTAAAAATAAGAAAAAAAGCCGGACTCGGTGGCTCAGTCTGTAATCCCACGCCTTTGGGAGGCTGAGGTGAGTGGATTGCCTGAGCCCGCGGGTTCGAGACCCCTCTGGGCAACTTGGCGAGACCTCATCACTACAATAAATCAAAATGAGCCGGGCGTGGTAGCACATGCCTGTAGTTCCAGCTACTCGGAAGGCTGAGGCGGAAGGATCGCCGGAGCCCAGCCAGTCGAGGCTGCGGTGGCCGGGAGCGGTCACTGCACTCCAGTCTGGGCGACAGAGTGAGGCTCCATCTCAAAAAAAAAAAAAAAAAAATCACATTAAAGTAAATTGTGGCCGGGCTGGGTGACTCAGCCTGTAATCCCAGCACTTTGGGAGGCCAAGGTGAGTGGAGTTCCTGAGCCCGCAGGTTTGAGACCAGCCTGGGCAACTTGGTGAGACTTCCTCTCTACAATAAAATAAAAAATAGCCAGGTGTGGTAGCGTGCACCTGTAGTTCTGGCTACTTGAAAGGCTGAGGTGGAAGGATTGCCAGAGCCCAACAGGTCGATGCTGGGGTGGCCATGAGCATGCGTGCCACTGCACTCCAGTCTGGGCGAAGGAGTGAGACTCCAACTCAAAATAATAAATAAATAAATAAACAAATACATAAAGTAAATTGCATTTCTGTTGGCTAGAAACAAAAACAAGTAGAATAATATAATTCAAAAGAGGACAATTTTAGAACTGAAACAGAAAATATCAAATTCCTGAGAATAACCTAATAAAAGACATCTAAGACCCTGATAGTAAAAGTTTTTTTAATGGTAAATCAACTTCAGGGTGATCAAATGTGAAGAACAAAATGTTAAAACTTTGGGTGGAACGCCAGTGAATGTCTGCTAGACTTGAGGTGGCAAAGAATCCTTGCTAAGGTTAGACCCTAACAATGGAAGAGCATTCATAAATGTGACTGTATTAACATCAAGATGCTCTTTTTCTTCAGAAGATACCTTTCAGCAGCTTTTCCCAAAGTGTGGTTGGCGAGGTTAAAACTATTTTCAAAACAATACTGAGTTGTCATTTGCCTAGTTCACTCTCGTTTTCTCTAATGCGGAGAGTAGGATTCTCCAGAGACACCACGGCCGACACAGCAGAGCGGACACAGACACTATTGAGGAAGTTCAGCTGTTTTCCACCAAGCCAGACATTAAAGAGGTTTACAGGCTAGGTGTGGTGGCTCAAGCCTGTAATCCCAGCACTGTGGGAGGCCGAGGCGAGAGGGTTGCTTGAGTCCAGGGGTTCGAGACCTGCCTGGGCAACTTGATGAGACCTTGTCTCTACAATAAATCAAAAAATTAGCCAGGTGTAGTGGCGTGTGCCTGTGGTTCCAGCTACTTGGAAGTCTGAGGCAGAAGGATTGTCTGAGCCCAGCAGGCTGAGGCTGTGGTGGCCGGGAGCAGCCACTGCACTTCAGTCTGGGCGACAGAGTGACACTCCGACTCAAAACAAAAGAGATTTATAAATATGCAAAATTATGCCCCTCATCTTTTTGGGAAAAATATTTTTCATAAGATATGCTATGTATGTTAGTATGCAATGGGTTTATTATTATTTTAAATAAATTAATAGATTTTTTAAAAATTCTCAGTTTTTTTTTTTTTGAGTTGGAGTCTCACTCGGTCGCCCAGACTGGAGCGTAGTGGCCGCT